GTTACACAAAAAAAAAAAATCAAATAAAATAAACAACCGCCAAATTTTTTAAAGCCTGTGTCGTCCATAAAAAGAGTTTAAATGGAAACAAAAGAGCCAATTCCGTCTAAATAATAATTAGGAGTAATTATGTAAACTCTCTGAGAGAAGGCAAAGGGGTGTCATTTTAAAATTAGAGGGGCAATTATGTAGTTATTAAAAACTCAATATTTACTCATAATTGTAGATAAAACTGGATCCGGCTATGCGTGCACGGCCGAGTGGTTGATGTGAAATTAATAATAAAAAGGATTAGGCCCAAATTGTTGCCAAATAACAAAAAAATAGAATCGATCATCAACAGAAAATTTGTTCGGTCAATGAAAAAAAAAACACATCAATTGTCTAGACAACATTTTAAACCGAAAGTTAAAAAAAAAAAGGCCCAATCAGTTGTGGTTGTACTGGCCATGAATATACAACTTTGTCATACTATTTGGGTGCATTGTTAAGTAGATATTAATATTAATATTAATGAGAAAATTACCCTGTATACAGACTGAAGAAAGAAATATTGCATTTGTACCAATAAAGTTAATTATTTGCAAACATAATAAGTCAGTCAAAAATAATAGCACAAATACGAGATACACTTACAACCGTTTTCTATAGATAATTATTAAGGAGATGGTTTTTGAATGGTAACTTCCTAATTTATTGGGATTCTAAGTGTAACCCCCACAACTATTAACGCTTTTTTCTGTCAGGATTCATCATGAGCACAACTACCTCCATTAATTTACTTTACTTTTTACTCCATCTTCCTCAATCAATTTTTTTTTTCTCCTTCATTGTTTGCCTCTAAAAAAAAAACACACAACAAAAACGCCTGACGTCGACACCCTACACATTGTCGGTAACAGTCAACTTAGCGGCAAAAAAAACCCACTCCAACATCTTCCGGTGACGTCCATAAAATTCCGCCGGCAAAGAAGCAATCACGGCGGAATAAAAACACAACATTTTCAAAGCCGAAGATTCTGATTTTGGTGAAGATGAAGAAATGTTGTTGAGGAGATGTAACTTGACGACGAATTTGTTGAAAGGAGAAAAAATAAGAAAAAAAATATGGATAATATAATGTGCGTTATATAAACAAATTAACATACAGTTTCGTATGTGTAAACATTATAGATAATACTATATATGTTGTATAAACTCAACATATACAGTTTCTTATGTGTAAACATTGTGGATAATAATATATACGTTGTATAAACTAAACATATACAGTTAAACATATACAGTTTCTGTATATCTTCTGTATATACTTTGTATATATTATGTAAAAATGCAATATATTTTCCGAACTTATATGTTTTCTGTATATCTTCTGTATATATTGTGTATATATTATGTATAAACGCAATATATACTGAAAAAATAAATAGGACGTTTGAATTTCAGGTTATCAAATATATTTTGTATGGTAACGTGATTGTAGGAAGATAGTATCTCACTTAATATGTATTACTTTTTCTGTTTATGTTTAACGTGATTGTAGGAGGATAATATCTCACTTAATATGGTAAACGGATTTTTAGCTTGAGGTCAAATAAATGCAGCTGAAAAGACATGCTTTCAAATATATTTACTCACTTCGTAAAGTTGCAATTATTTAAAATTCTTGTGGTGGAGACCAAATTTCCCCGATATTAATCTTTTGTTTTTCAACACATCTTCTCAAATAATGTGTTCGAACAAAAAAAAGTTTATTAATGCTTTTATAAATTTGTAGAAATCTCATATTATTTCATTGTTGTCAAGTTATTGGAAGCTAAATTTATAAATGTCATAAAAGTTGGGTATGTGTATTTTAAAATTTTGCCAAATATTAGTTATAATTATAGGCTAGACTAGAGCTGGCTGTGCGTGCACAACCACCGGCCAACTAGTATACATATATATAAAAACTATGGCATCAAAGAAATTATATTGCATTATATTTATAAATCAGGGGCAAATTATAGGGGAAATTTATATCTAAAAAACAAAAAAAACACAAGTGGACAAAAACAAAGCAAAAAAAAAAAAAAGTTGTGGATCAAAATCAAAAGCCCGTATTTTTGAACAACGTATTTTGAAAATACGTTTTTCAATTAAAAATACATAAAAAACGTATTCCAAAAATACGGGCTTTTGATTTTGGTCCACAACTTTTTTTTTTGCTTTATTTTTGTCCACTTCATTTTTTTTTTATTTTTTTCTAGTAAAAAAATCCAAATTATAGTGCTCGTATCATACTAAATTCTCAAACTTCAACATGATGCAATCTATATATATATAATTGCTAGCTAAGCAATAAATTTTACCTAATAAATAAAACCTAATAAATTTTACCTATATGGCAAATCATTAATAAAACCTAATAAATAGAACCTAATAAATTTTATTTATGTGGCATTAATACACCCAATCTCATTAATAAAAAAATATTTCATTACATTTTTTTGGGTTAATTAAGACAAAAATCATTATATTTTATGTTAATTGATTAATAATTATATTTTTTATTGAATAATATAATAGTTAATATTAAAATTAGTAATTATATTTTATACTAAATAATATATGAAAGTTACATAAAATTATATTTTACACTAAAATCAATATTTTTT